TATTCTTTTGGCCACGGCCACACACACACACACACACACACACACACAAACACACAAAACATTTTAAGAAGCAATGACATTCCTATCATGTCTTGATCATCTTTGCCTAGACTTGTAGTGAATATAATAAATATTCAAGTTTTTTTGTGCAGTCCCTGCAGGTACTCAAAATCAAACTTAAGAAAGCAGTAGATAATACAAGTACAAGGAAAAATAACTGATCGAATGAAAATCTTATCAAAAGTTCAGTACTACATCAACCTAAAGAGTTAAAAAATAAAGCAACATTTTAACATATTCTGGAGTAAGTTGTTTTCACTTTTTCTTCTCATAGTACAAACAGCTAGTTCAGTACCTAATGGACACAATGTCTGGCACACAGTATATAATCAATAAATGTTGAATGTGTTCAAAATCTTGACAATTGCACAACTTGGTAATTTACAACATTTATCTTAATAGGAAATGCTCATTAGGCAAGGGAGACAAAGTTAGAAAGCTTAAACTACTAGTATATAATTTTTTGACATGTTTTGAACTTTTTATTTTAAATATTTATTGTTGAAAGTATTACATATGTCCCCTTTTCCCGCCATTGACCTTTTCTAGGCCCTCCCCCGCCTTTGCTGGGTTCTTGTTCTGGCATCAAGAAGGGTTCAGGAATCTGGAGAAGGCTGTGCGTAGATTAAATAAGAGTCCGGAGACGAAGCATAATTTTGAAAGGCATTTGGGGGTCAGAGGAGCTTAGCTAAAGGAGCTAAGTTCTAAGTTCTTAAGGTCTTAAGGTCTAAGGTCTCCTGTTTCAGGACCCCATGCTTTTTATTAACACAATTTGTCCTGAGGCGAGGTGGAGATGTACCCTTCAAAGGGTATACACAAGCATTGTCAGAATGGGGGAATTAGCCTACGGCTGTTCAGGTGTTTGGCCAGTAGGAGGCAATAACATGTAGATTAAGATGCCCTTTAACTGTCTGGCAGCCAAGAATCAATTTAATGTATCCTATTCAGGTTTGGGGAAATGCCTTTAGCCATTCAGAGATGCAGCCCTGCTGTCATGCTGGAATTGGTTTCTAGCACCCCTTCCCACCCAGGCCTTCACTACCCTATTGTCTGTGTCCATGGGTTATGCATATATGAGTATAATTCTTAACAAGGAAGTTTTAGAAACATTCTAAAGGTGGACATGGAATACATGGCAGTAGATAAGAGTGCCAGTGAGATATCTGCAGTACCTTTCAAAGCTTGTATTTGATGAAAAGCCACTGTAGTACTTAATGGAAGAAAGTAGGAGTTAAAAGAATAGAATCTGAAACACCTGTCAGAAAGAATATATGCACCCCTATGTTCATAGCAGTGTTATTTACAATAGCGAAGATCTGGAAACAATCCAAGTGCCCATCAGTGGGTGAGTGGATAAAAAAGATATGTACATTTACACAATGGAATACTATGCAGCTGTACAAAAGAAGGATCTCTTACCCTTTGAGGCAGCATGGAGGAACCTGGAGAGTATTATGCTAAGTGAAATAAGCCAGGCAGAGAAAGACAAGTATCACATGACCTCACTTATATGTGGGATCTAATGAACAAAATAAAATGATGAACAAAATAAACCCAGAGACATGAAAACATGGATGAGACTGACAAATCTCAGAGGGAAAGGAGGAGGGAGGGCCGGAAGAGATTAACCAAAGAACTTATCTGCATAGCCCATGGCCACAGACAATAGTGTGGTGAAGGCCTGGGGTGGGACAGGAGCCAGGTGGATGGGCAATGAGAGAGGGAAAGAGGGACATCTGTAATACATCAGCAATAAAGATTAAGAATTAAAAAATAAAATAATATATGACTAGCATAGCTTTGGTAGTGATGTTCAGACAGTCTTGGTGAGGGCAGTGCTGTGGCTGAGAGTTCATTGAGGAACAGGTTGCAGTAACTGGTGAGAGGTGAGAGGTGGTGAGAGTCTTCGGGAAGTTGCAGTGCAATGCAGAGAAAGCAGTGTTCTGAGAGGCAGTTTAACTTAGGGCATTTGGGAAAGATAACCTTGCCATGTGTGGTATGAAATTTATATCCTTATGTTTGGGCCCACCTCTCTGCTATTCCAGGGGTTGCAATTAAATGAAAAATACATAGTCATGCCCCCTCCAAGTATGAGAAGCCCTTTACTCATAGCTAGAACTTTGGTGTAGGAGTCTAGGAAAATACTGCTGTTCAGAAGTTTATCACCCATTTTCTCCTTTAGTCTTTCTTAGGATAATTTTGATCATCATTGGACCTCTCAAAAAGTTTAATGCCCTTATATATATAAAAAAAACACATTAAATTAATTTGTTGAAAAACAAAATTGCCCTGTGAAAAGTTCTTTTTGTTTTATTTTCTATAAAAATGCTTCCTGTTACAATTCTTCCGCTACACAGAGAAGAATAAGTAGGATGTGCGGGTTTCCACTTCCTTCTCCTCTCCTCCGCCGCAACCTTGGCACTAATGTAGCATGGTTGCTTTCTTAGCTTGCCTCCACAATGATGCTCCTCCCTCTTCTTAAAAGCCTCCATGCCAAGGGACAATGCACAGCATTCTCTCTTGCAATAGATGCTAATTGTGTGCTTGGTTGGGCTCTTGCTGTCATAGTCACAATCATTGCGCCATTGTGCTGGGAGGCTGGTCACAGTGGTTACTGTGCAGAGCGATGAATGCTGTTTACTTGGGATGCGAATTTGTCTGCATCTGTGGGTGACAACACGGGGTCACTGTAATTTGCCTGGCGAGTGATCAGACTGGTATAAAATAACATTATCTGTTCAGCAAGTTAGCAGTCACAAAGAACTATTGATTCCTTTTAACGTAGAATTTTTAATGAGAAACTTCGAGTAATGGAGATTGAAGCTGTGAGAACAGCTACCAAGTGTGTGTTGCATATTAACCCCTATTTTTCAGTGTATTTTGGGATCAAGTTTACATACCCAGAAGGTAAGGAGCTGGGCGTGGCCCACTCCACACATCTCTGCTCTGGCTCAGCTTAAGAAGAGCTGCTTAACCACAGTTAATTACATTTTGGACACGTGACATGATTGGTGTCAATTAGGAACTGGGCTTCAGGTAGTGCCCTCCCTTCCCCCCCACCATGAAACTTACAAATTCTGAAAGCATAATCACAGTGAATGTAGACACTTTCTTGCCTAGTTCTTTCACCTACGTGAGGAAAAGATATTTTTTTATGTAGTTGTTGTAAAGGGATGGTATTTAAATCTCAACAGTGCTTACTGAAATGCTGAAATAAAAGGAAACATTTTACTTTTTTAAAAATAACCTAGGTGATATTTTGCAAGGGTCTTAAAAATCCCAATTTTGGAGCTGATTATTTGCTTGACAAACTACTTCCCATGGTTTCTATCTTTCCACCCCGATGCCCATTTTTAAATACTTGCCAACTATTTGCTCATTAGCATTGCTTATTAAAAGTGATTTGGGGAACACATTTCAAAACAGTCCTTTTTGTATGTTTTTCAAGTTTTGTTAAATTTCCAGAAAATATAAACCTATTTATTGCCTAAAGGTGAAGTTTAACCAAATTTGTATTTTTTATTTATTTTTCTCATCTTGCTTGTGTACATGCCTAAATGGTTACTTTTTAGGAAAGTGGATTTTGACTACTGCAGTAATTTGTATTCCTTGAAGGGAGAAGAAGTGATGTTTCATGTGACTTATTCAGGTTTTTACAGTTTGGGGTCTTTTTCATGATCCCAAGCACTTAGAAAGTAACAAGGGCTTGGTAATTTTGGAGGAGGGAAACACACTAATTAGCCAGGGGAGTTAATGTAAACATTAGATTATCTAACCATTGCAGGTAACATTCTTTTTTGTTCCTTATTTTATAGTATTAAAGTAATAATATGTATAATTCTACCTTTAGATGTTATAGGAATAGTATATGTTCAATATGGAAATTTGGGAAATCTACACTAATAAAAGAGAAACATGGTAATTGGCGTACGACCGCTACCCTTTTCATTGGCTATTTATTTTTCTCATCTTGCTTGTGTACATGCCTAAATGGTTACTTTTTAGGAAAGTGGATTTTGACTACTGCAGTAATTTGTATTCCTTGAAGGGAGAAGAAGTGATGTTTCATGTGACTTATTCAGGTTTTTACAGTTTGGGGTCTTTTTCATGATCCCAAGCACTTAGAAAGTAACAAGGGCTTGGTAATTTTGGAGGAGGGAAACACACTAATTAGCCAGGGGAGATAATGTAAACATTAGATTATCTAACCATTGCAGGTAAAATTCTTTTTTGTTCCTTATTTTATAGTATTAAAGTAATAATATGTATAATTCTACCTTTAGATGTTATAGGAATAGTATATGTTCAATATGGAAATTTGGGAAATATTTTTATAAAAAGGAAAAATCCAATAGATCACCAATTAGTCTCTATACTTGCCATCAAAACTAGCAGCCATTAAATTTTGCTATCTGTACCCTCCTGTGATTTTTGTATCACTTTGGCCTAAGTCTTGTTTGGACTCAAGGCCATTCAGAAACACGAGTCACTTCAAGTTTCTTCCATAATTTACTAAGTTTTTATAAAAAATGTTATCAACATTTTCTGATACTAAATGGGTTGAAAAATTAACCTTAGGAAGAACATAAGACTGTGTATGGCTAATATTAAGAACATTTCCCACAGTTTGTAAAAATGGTAAGTTTTTTTGAGTTTTTCAAAACAAATTTTCCTTGATACATGGGCATGTTGGCTTTAATCAAGGTGAGACTGATTTACTGCTTCTTAAAGGAGGTATAAATATGACCTTCATTCACAAATTGTCTTTTTTAAAAACATACTTTTCCCTTAGGTAAATAGAAGTCATTTAACTTATTCTGATGAAAAGTTGCTTTTTTGTCTTTTCATTTTTTTTTAACCGCTTCCTTTCCTTCCTCTGACAAGTCACATTCTGCTTCCATGTTGCTAACTGCTGCTCTTTATTTCTGCTTCTGTGACAGCCAGCCGATGGCGGAGTCTCTTCTCTTCAAATGTCTCCCTGGCTTTTCCTTATAGTCCTGTTGCAAGACTCAGCCCTTATAGCAATGGCATTAATACTCCCAGCTTCTCTAAAACCTCAAATAAAGCAATACTAACACCTGAAAGAACAGGTAATATTTCAACTTCTCGACTAGCTGCTTGCTTTCTTGTCATTTAGTTACTAAACACAGCTTAAATATCCATCTTGAAAAGCTTGAGAGTAATCTTATCACATGGAGAGTTTTTTTGCAAACTTAACTTGGATATGAAAAAGGCTAATGTTAATTTGTACTTTAACACCATTAATCTGCTCTCAGTTGTGTGTGGTCGGCGGTCTGCCCTTGTTGTCAACAGTATGTGTATATAGTTAATGTGTTTCCAAGTGCCCAGTGTGCTTTTAAAATGAAATGTCAAACAATTCAGTGCTTTTTATTAAGATTCAAAAATATAAGGATTTATATCTTGTTCTTTTAAATTATTTTAGCTTTTTATTGCAGCTTTTTACGCAGCCAGGGCTACATAGAAAATAGACATAGTTGCTTTTTATGAGATGAAGATTCCGTTCCTGCAGCTTTCTCCCCGTGGGTCCTATCTTCCTTGTTCACTTATCTCGAGCCGTTGCTTTTTCACTCTCATGAGTGTCTGCCAGTCTCCTGACTGCTCTACACTCAATTTCACAGGTTTTGTAAATGTTTCTGTGTATGTATGTGTGCTTTTTATATGTGATTTTCTTACTTATTTGTAACACTAGTGTTTGTAACTGTTTAAAAAATGGACCGGATTAAATTTTAATTTTAAAATATATAATAATTACTACTGAGAGAAGCATATCTGATTAGTAATTAAAGTGAACATGGACATGTACTTATACAATGCATTTAGATATATGCTTATCTAATGGCATTAATGATTTCTTTTGTTATGGTAAAAAAACAACAGGAGATCTCTATTCTTTACAGTTTGTATTGGTCGCTTTTTGGCGACATGAAAACAGGGCAGAAACTGGCGATTGTTGATAACATGAATTATAAAGCATAAATAGATATCAGTTCTTTAGTCTAAATGGACCGGATTAAATTTTAATTTTAAAATATATAATAATTACTACTGAGAGAAGCATATCTGATTAGTAATTAAAGTGAACATGGACATGTACTTATACAATGCATTTAGATATATGCTTATCTAATGGCATTAGTGATTTCTTTTGTTATTATGGTAAAAAAACAACAACAGGAGATCTCTCTTCTTTACAGTTTGTATTGGTTGCTTTTTGGCGACATGAAAACAGGGCAGAAACTGGCGATTGTTGATAACATGAATTATAAAGCATAAATAGATATCAGTTCTTTAGTCTAAACAATAAACCTACATGCTTTGTTTTTAGGTTACACCTCCAGGGGCTCCCCTGTCAGTCCCCAGTCGTCTATAGACAGTGAGCTGAGCACTTCAGAACTGGAGGACGACTCCATCTCCATGGGGTACAAGCTACAGGACCTCACTGACGTGCAGATCATGGCTCGTCTGCAAGAAGAAAGTACGTCTGTTTGTTTTTTTTTAGACCAGAACACATTTTAAACTAGGGGCTTCTACTAGAACCGTGAGGGCATGGGGAGTTTTCAGGTATTTCTTCCCAGTAATGGGCACACACTTAGGTCCTTTCTCTCATACTCTGTCCTGCTTTGTAGGTGGAGCAGTTAATGCTTCTCACATTCTCATAAGCATTGTAAGGTGTTAGGACATGTTCTGATCAAAATGCACTGACACAAAGACCATTGCTGGGATGGCCACTGTGGAAACAGTTTGACAGTTTCTTTAAAACCAAACCCATGATTTCCACAAGGCCCAGCATGTTTCACTCTGGGCATTTATCACAGAGCAGTGGGAATTTGTGTTCACACAGAAACCTGTACTGAACATTCGCAGTAGCTGTTTGTAAAAGCCAAAACCTGGAATGAACTGAGATGTCTCAGTAGGGGAATTGTTAATCAGACAGTGGTACCTGCATGTCCTGGAGCAGTATTCACCAATAAAAAGGAATGAACCATAGATTCATGCACTCTCATGGATCAATCTACAGGGAATTACACTCAGTGAAAAAAAGATCATCCCAAGAGGTTGTATGCTATACTAGAGGCCCAGTGCATGAAAATTCATGCACTGGAGGAGGGGGATTCCTCAGCCCCTGCCCCCTCCTCTCACAGTCTGGGAGCCCTCAGGGGCGAGAGGCGACCCAGCGATCAGGGGAAGGCGATGCCCCATCACACCTCTGCTGCTGCCACTGCTGTCAGCACAAGCCTCAGCCGGCCCTGGTTACCTGAGCCTCAGGCCGGCTCTGGGTGGCTGGGGTGCTGAGGGGACTGGGGGACTCTGGAGGCAGGCACCCTGGCGGGGCTGAGGGGACTGGGCGCCGCCATCTTTGAGGGCGTGGCAGTCAGCATACTCCCTCCTTATTGGCTGTGGGCACTGCCATCTTTGAGGGTGGGACAGTCAATTAGCATATTCCCTCCTTATTGGCTGTGGATGCCGCCTTCTTTGCAATGGCACGAGGGTCAATTAGCATATTCCCTCCTTATTAGCTGTGGACGCCGCCTTCTTTGCAATGGCATGAGGGTCAATTAGCATATTCCCTCTTTATTAGATAGGATAGTTCCATTTATATAACATTTTGGGATGACAAAATCTTAAAAGTGGGCAGTTTTGTGGTCACTAGGGTTAGGGGTATGGTGTAGGATCTCAGGAGGAAGGTGGATGTGGTTATAAAAGGGCAACACAAGGTATTTCTGGGGGTTTTTGGAACTGTTTGTTCAGTATTTTGACACTGGTGGTAGGCACCTGATCCTACAGGTAGTAAAATTGTAGAAAACTTAATACTAACACATACAAGCATGCATGAGTAGACCCGGAAACACCTAAGATGGCTTTGTGTCACTGCCAGTGTTCTGGTCATCATGTTATTCTATAATTTTGCAAAATGTTATCATTGGGAGAACTGGGCAATGTGCACAAGAGAACCCTGTCTTGTTTCTTTAGAACTTCATATGAGTCTATAGTTATCAATAAAAAAAAAATCAGTTAAATGCATTGGTATACTTTTCAGAATAATTATGGAAGAGAAGATCATTGGAAATGGTACAATTTATCTCTGGTTCTGCAATAAAGTTACAATAAATAATCTGGGAGTGAACGCTTCAAGGACATTTATGGCAGAAAAAGGCACAATACAATGTAGATCACAGAACCTGGCTAGGCTTGTTTTGCAGTTATCTTTTCAGGTCAACATAAGTAGAAACAGCCAACTATCATTTAAGCGTAACTATTTCCTGGTTTCAGAATTAGTCAAGGCTACTATAAGAAACATGGTAATGCTCATGCAGAATTTAATAAGATACATGTTGATGGAAAAGTGATTATTTTTGGTCATTTTTCAGTAACAGTAAACTAACACTAACTCTACATCTATATGGCTAAAAGATTAGATGTCAGTTTTCAGATGTTAAGTAGTTAAGGATAGACTGCTTTTAAAAAAATTGTGGTCTTGGCAATGAGATGAATAACTAGAAACTTAAGTTTACTATTTTTAGGTAGTTATCATTTAGGATGACCCCAAACCATTGCGATATTGAAATGTCACTATGCTTTGAAAAAGAATAAAAAGAATGAAAGAGGCGGCCTTGTTAGAAAATACATACTTGTACCACAGATTTTGAACTTTGCACTGGTTTGAGAATTGGAGTGGGGAGCAGGAGGAGTTCCTGCTTGGGCAGAGATTTGATTAATGGCCTAACTCATAGCAAACAATTTATAATGATGATGAATACTATTTCCTAAGCAGCCTTCCTAAGTACGTATCTCTGGAGCTCAGCAGGGATCATTTGGGGAAATTGACAGACATTGATTGATAAATTATAGCAGTAGGTACCATATTTAATTTTCACTGCAATTGTGGCAATCTTTTTGCAAAACAGAATAGTCTAATATTTTAATAAACTAAGAACACGATAATGGGTCTCTGAATCATTTGGCACAAAATTTCCTCTAATATTTGAACTTAATTTTTGCTAGATTGAAATGTGTCTAATGATAATACTATTTCTTATTATTTTTTAGGTCTCAGGCAAGATTATGCTTCCACGTCAGCATCCGTGTCAAGACACAGTTCCAGTGTGTCATTGAGTTCAGGAAAGAAAGGGACATGTAGTGATCAAGAATATGATCGATTCAGTTTAGAGGATGAGGAAGAATTTGACCATTTGCCACCACCTCAGCCCCGTCTTCCAAGATGTTCACCCTTCCAAAGAGGAATCCCCCATTCACAGACTTTCTCCAGCATTCGGGAATGTAGGAGGAGCCCCAGTTCCCAGTATTTCCCTTCAAATAGTTACCAGCAGCAACAGTGTTATTCACCTCAAGCCCAAACTCCAGATCAGCAACCAAATAGGACCAATGGAGGTAGGTTATGATGCCCTTTTGGTATGTGGTGGGTTCAAGAAATGGTTTTAAAGTCAATGTAAATAGTAGGTAAACATTTCCCAGATTTATTAAGTACATTATCAAGACCTTATCAGTTTGGTCTAAATTCGAATCTGTAATTGATGGGCTTCTAATTACATGTCCCAGATTTATAGACCTAGGGCTTCAAGAACACCACCGCATTGTAGCTGGCACAGAATGGGCCATTACATGGGAGCATCTTTTTGCTGTTGCCAGTTCAGCTGTGGGATGGGCAGGGTTGTGCCAGTTGAGCTCGTAGTGGATCTCCACGGAGCCCGAGGCACAGAGTTACCCTTTCTCACCTTTCCCACAACCTCCAGCCTCTTCCTGTCTGTTCCTAGCACAGAGTGGTGGGTGGTTAGTGCACGATGATGCTTGGAGAGGATGCTGCTTGTCACATCCAGGTTAAGGGGAAGTTGGGCTATGTCTTTCCCTCTGATCCTGACATCTGGAATTAGGATCCGTGTAGCAGTAGGAAAATGGAGGCTAATCTTTGCCATGGTAATGGAAGCTGATTAGCCCTAATGTTAATGTGGTGGGTTGAAATATGTGTCATTCTCTTGTGGGTTTTCTGTCTGCCTCTTCATTTGTCTTCCTTATCCACTCTCAGGAGTTACACTCCTTGACTTCCAACAAATTATAGGGAGAACAACTGTAATGTTGCAAGCCTGGTATGTTTTTTTGTACTAATGATCACTCACACACAGGTCCATGTACTATGGAGAAACAAACCATATTTATACAGGTATAGCATCCTCTATAATAAAGAGCCAATATGCAACTGGTCGTCACGCCCTCACGCCATAATGGCTCAGACACTCAACACTGGGAAGAGAGGAATGGGGACCAGCCAGGCACAAATGAGCTCGTGAGAGAGGAATGGGGACCAGCCAGGCACAAATGAGCTCATGAGAAAGGAATGGGGACCAGCCAGGCTGCGGCCTGGGAGAGGGACAAGCTGCCCGCCCTGCAGTCCTGGGCGCCTGCGGCTGCGGCCTGCCTAGGCAAAACCGGCCTGGGTCCTGGGTGTCTGCAGTTGGTCAGAGGGAGGGAAGCCCAGGTCCCAGGTGCCTGTGACCGGCCAGAGGAGGGAATCCTAGGTCCTGAGTCCCAGGTGCCTATGACTGGCCAGAGGAGGGAATCCTAGGTCCCGAGTGTGGGGCGAGGCAGAGGTGGTTAGGGGCGATCAGGCCAGCAGGGGAGAAGTTAGGGGTGATCAGGCAGGCGGGGGGAGCAGTTAGGGGTGATCAGGCAGGCAGGGGGGTTAGGGGCAATCAGGCAGGCAGGTAGGGGAGTGGTTAGGAGCCAGCAGTCCCAGATTGTGAGAGGCAGTTGGACATCCCCTGAGGGATCCCGGATTGGAGAGGGTGCAGGCCAGGCTGAGGGACCCCCACTCCCGTGCAGAATTTCATGCACCAGGCCTCTAGTTTAATTATAAAGCACCATTTCTCAAAGCTGAAGCCAGAAGTGCTCAAGCAGGTAATTTTATAATATTGCAAAGCCAAATCTATATATATAAAAGCGTAAGCGACAGAGTGACCCGTCGCTGTGATGCGCACTGACCACCAGGGGGTGGATGCTCAATGCGGGAGTTGCCCCCTGGTGGTCAGTGCGCACTCACAGCCAACCTCCCACAGCCCCACCCTAGCCGTCCAACCTCTCGCAGCCCCAATGGCCCCAATCGCTGGCCAGGCCGAGGGACCCCACCCATGCACGTATTCGTGCACCGGGCCTCTAGTACAAATTATTTTTGGGTCATTTGTTACCATGTTTTTACTTTTTACCCTTTCTTTCTGTGTACTTATATCATTAATGCTAATTGAGAGAGAATTTGAAAATATTGAAAATTTTAATCATAATTTCACTGTTTTGTACTTTCAGATTTAAAAGAAAACAGTGGCAGCCAAAGAGTGTCATAGTGGCTAGATTATAAAAGCTAATAGTATCAGAAAGACAGTATATGCCATATGCTTACTGAAAGTCATAGCCTTATTTTACAATTGAGGGGGAGGGCACCTTGTGTTGTTTCTCTGAAGATTTTTTTGTCAGGTGTCTGAGAATGTCATATCCTAGTTGTCTAGCAGATGTTGGCTCTGTATCTTGATTAGTATTGTCAAATGGGATCATTGTCTCACCTTGGAAAAGTGGTTTTGACTTACATTAAACCCCGTTATGTGCAGGATTAGGTTTCCCCGAACCTGTGCTGTGTGACTCAGCTCCGCGTCCGGCTGTGGTAGTTGCATGGTTCCTAAAGGGTCTGGTTTCCTACAAAGGAAAAGGGGATACAGTATCAGAACCTTCATGTGTTACCATGGAATATTTTTGGAACCCAATTGTGAAATGAGAATGGTAACTTTGAAATTAATCCATCAAATATTTTTCTAAAATACCAAAATAATATAGATAGGAGAAAATAATTGTTAAATCATTGATGCATTAAAAATAATAAAAAATAAACTGGAAATATGTTATTTACATTTATTGCTTCTATAGCTCCTACACGGTCTAGGTTCAAAAGAGGTGGCTCTTAAGAGTTATTGGAATATTTCTAAGGATCATAGGATTGAAATAAGCCTTTTTAGAGTAATTTACCAGATAGGAAACATGACTAAATCTTGCAGAATGTTTACTGATTTGTAGGACACAGCAGGGGTTATTGGTAGCATGATGATGTAATCACTCTTAGCCAGAGGTTCTCCCTGGACCCCATTGACTGTTTGGTGGTAACCGAGTCTTTCTTTTATCCCCTGATTCTTTAGTCTTTATTGCAGAGTGGTGAGTCTTGCCATTCCTTTCCTATGAGAAAACTCATGTGAAATCTTGCCTTAGTCTGTGCATTCAGCTTCCTGCTGCATCTTAGTCCTTAAGGATAAATTACTGGTTTCTTGTGAAGATAGAACATTATTTTCGATTCCTTGAATATTAAAGTGTAACCACACAGGAACCTTATTTTCTTTCATCTGCCCTTTATTTTGATTTTTTTTTCCTTTGACTCAAACTGGCCTCACCTAGTGCCCGTTAAGTTGTATGAGTTCCCTATAAATTTTGGAGATTAGGCCCTTATCAGATATGACATTGGCAAATATGTTTTCCCACGCAGTGGGTTTTCTCATTGTTTTGTTGATGGTTTCTTTTGCTGTGCAGAAGCTTTTTATTTTGATGTAGTCCCATTTGTTCATTTTCTCTTTAGTTTCAAGTGCCCTAGGAGCTGTATCAGTGAAGAAATTGCTTTGGCATATGTCTGAGATTTTGTTGCCTTTGGATTCTTCTAGAATTTTTATGGTTTCCTGTCGTACATTTAAGTCCTTTATCCATTTTGAGTTTATTTTTGTGTATGGTGTAAGTTGGTGGTCTAGTTTTATTTTCTTGCATATATCTGTCCAATTTTCCCAACACCACTTATTGAAGAGACTATCTTGGCTCCATTGAATGTTCTTTCCTCCTTTGTCAAATATTAATTGAGCATATTGGTTTGGGCCAATTTCTGGGTTCTCTATTCTATTCCATTGATCTATATGCCTGTTCTTGTGCCAGTACCAGGCAGTTTTGAGAACAGTGGCTTTGTAATACATCTTGATTCTTTAGTCTTTATTGCAGAGTGGTGAGTCTTGCCATTCCTTTCCTATGAGAAAACTCATGTGAAATCTTGCCTTAGTCTGTGCATCCAGCTTCCTGCTGCATCTTAGTCCTTAAGGATAAATTGCTGGTTTCTTGTGAAGATAGAACATTATTTTTGATTCCTTGAATATTAAAGTGTAACTACACAGGAACCTTATTTTCTTTCATCTGCCCTTTATTTTGATTTTTTTCCTTTGACTCAAACTGGCCTCACCTAGTGCCCAGACTCACCCACCTCCCTCTTCCTTGCTTAATTAATCATTAAGCCCTCGGGACCATGAGGTTCTGGTCAGCATCCAGTAGTCCTAGGAATAAAGTCTTGGGTCTGTTGACCACAGGTTCAGAGTTCTGGTCAAACTAGAGATAACAGCTAGTTGTGTTTCAGCTCCCGAACTACCCCACTGACTGCATCCTCGTGAAACCAGAAAAAGCGATGCCATAGCTGACATCAGGACCAGTTGCAATGATCAACTATCCCTACCCTAGTGCCAGCCCATCAGTGGAAACCACGACCCAAACTCCATTAGTCACCATGACTAATGATTTTCCCTGAATAATCCATTTCCTGGAAGCCATCGGGAGTCAACAGTAGCTCATGTGACTCCAGGCATGGCACCATCTTCTTAATAAATCCTTACTTCTTTAAAAAAATTGATTTGAGGAGGGAAGAGGAGTGGGGGAGATGGAGAGAGAGAGAGGGAGACAGACAGACAGACAGACACACAGAGAAGCATTGATTTGTTCTACTTATTTACGTATTCATTGGTTGATTCTTTTTTTTCTTTATTGATTAAGTTATTACATATGTGTCCTTATCCCCTGATTACCACCCCCCCCATGTCCTCACTCTCCTGGTGTATGTGTATGTGTCCGTTGGTTATGCTTATATGCATGCATACAAGTCCTTTGGTTGATCTCTCCCCCTTACCACCACCCTTCCCTACCATCACTCTAAGGTTTGACTGTCTCTTCGATGCTTCTCTGTCTCTGGATCTGTTTTTGTTCATCAGTTTATGTTGTTCATTATATTCTACAAATGAGTGAGATCATGTGGTATTTGCCTTTCTCTGACTGGCTTATTTAGCTTAGCATAATGCTCTCCAGTTCCATCCATGCTGTTGCAAATGGTAAGAATATACATAATATAGGAAGATGAATTACTAGTAAATGTGGCAAAATGAAAACTACTATATATGAAAACTTTTAGAATAAAGAGTTGAAAAATTAATAAACATGAAACTCAATTCATTTTCTAAATAATAACATGTAATTACTTCCCTGTACCTCTCTGCTGCTTAGTCAAAGTAATTTCATCTTGTATTGATAGAGACTCACTTTTTCATGCTAGTCATTAAGATGTTCAAAAATCATATCCTACAGTGAGGATTAAAAAAACAAAACAGTGATAAGAGGTCCAAACCAGGTGATAGTAATGAAGATTCATTAAATATTTATGAGACAGACTTTTGAGGACTTGGAATCAAGGGTGAAGAGGGAGGCAAATCTTAGGAGATTCTCCAGATTTCTGGATTAGGTGACTTTCCAGACAGGGCTTACAATCAACAGATCCAAGTAATGTGGAAAGGCCCTGTGTGAAGCAGAAGGAAATGAATCCAGTTTTGTACTTAAATGAGTTTTGGCTTAGTATTTAAACACTAAAGGCCCAATGCATGAAAACTCGTGCACTGGCGGGGGGGGGGGGGGGGGGGGGGGGCCGCGCCCCCCCCCCCCCCCCCCCCCCGCCTTAGCCCAGCCTGCACCCTCTCACAGTCCAGGAGTTCTCACAGTGTCCATGGGGAGCGGGCCTAAGCCGAAGTCTGGCCTCCCTCTGCAGGAGGCAACTGAGCCAGCCAATCAGGGGACGGCATTGCCCCTCATCACTGCCGCTGCCGCCTGGCCTCCGACAGGATGGGTGATCAGGGGATAGCGCTACCCCCATCACTCCGGCTACTGCCGCCACCCTGCCTGGCCTCCTTCTGAGGGAGGTGACCGGTCGGGCCGATCAAGGGATGGTGCCAGCCCCCTGCCAATCACCCCTCTGCCACTACTGGTCGCTGCCCCCCTACCCCATCGCAGTTCCTTCTCTCTGCCCACTGGCATGCGCCTTGGCTGGCCTGGCACCGCCTGCTCGCCAGCCCCGCCCCTCGCCAACTGGTCGTTCTGCTGTTTGGTCGATTTGAATATTACGTTTTTATTATATAGGATATCCTTTCTTTTCTAAGCTCAAGTGACCTGATATATGTTAGTGGTTGTGTTGTGTGTGTTTTTTGTGTGTGTGTGTGTGTTGTTTTTTGTTGTTGTTTTTTTTTTTGGGGGGGGGGGTTATTATTAAAGAGAAAACTAACTTGTGAAGTTGCAGTTTTGAAGCTTCTCAGCAACACCGAGACCTGTGTCTGACTCTCTGCTGCCCCTAAGTAGCAGAGAAGGAAATGGAAGCATGTTCTTTTTCAAGCCCCCAAAGGTTTGGTGGCATGCTCTTGATAATTAAAACTTTTTAGAAGTTATATGGTCATGTTGATGTGATTAGTGGATTTCTCAAAACATCTCAAGTTTGAATTTTAATAATTCCTTCTATTTTGATATGCTAGCAAAAGATCCAGTGCTGGTTTTCACTGTTCTAGGTTTTCATTAAAACGTAACAATTTCTAGTATGTTTTTAAAGCTAAATGGCTATAAGATTATTTTCTAACTTCACTTTGATACAGTTTTATTCACTTCATGTATGTGAACAAATATATAATTGACTAATCCCTACTTTTTTTAAATTGATTTCAGAGAGGAAGAGAGAGGGAGAGAGAGAGAGAGAAACATCAATGATGAGAGAGAATCACTGACCAGCTGCCTCCTGCATGCTCCTCACTGGGTATCAAGTCCGCAACCCGAGCGTGTGCCCTTGACTGGAATTGAACCTGGGACCTTCCAGTCTGCAGGCCAACGCTCTATCCACTGAGCCAAACCAGCCAGGGCTTGACTAATCCCTACTTTTTATAGAACTCATGTTCTTTTAGCAGTCTATTTGGTGCAACCTTTCTGGAGACATTGAGTATGTATTCCTATACAGAAGGTTAATTCCATTAGCTTTTTATAATTCATAATGAACATGATAATTTTATTTTTGAACAAAATATGATTTATATGTGTACTTACTTTTGAAAACTAGTATTTAGTAGGTGTAAAGTTTGTGATTTTTAACTCAGTAAAAATTTTTTCTCTTCTAGACAAGCTCCGAAGAAGTATGCCTAATCTAGCTCGGATGCCAAGCACAATGGGTGTTAGTAGCAATGTGAGTTCTCCAGTCACCGTGCGAAATAGTCAGAGCTTTGACTCAAGCTTGCACGGAGCTGGAAATGGGCTTTCAAGAATACAGTCTTGTAGTAAGTATATCAATTCTTAATTTTTTGTAATTTTTAGTTAGTCATAATACCATTAAGCAAATATCTTACTCTTCCATTTCTTCTTTTTCCTCTCAGGAACAATTTTTTTGTCTTGTAACTTTTTTCCCCCCACAATTAAAATTAAGTAGTATTTTTATCAGTGCCTATGTTACCAATTACATAGTAAGTTATATGTAATTCTTCATATCCAAGGATAGCAGCAGAAGCACTAAATGGTGATTAATTATCACACAAAATCTGTTTTCTTTATAGATCTGCCTCTTTCTGTCTACTTGATACCTTTACTCTGAAGAAAGCACACCACTCCTGTCTGTTACTTTCGTGTTGTGTTTCACTACCCTACAGCTTTTTCCCCCCAAAATGAAGTTTTATTATTTGTCTACTCCATTTCATCTTACCGCAGTCTGTCATTCTATGTTTTACACAGCAACAAACAGAGTAATGAGTGTTCAGTCTGGTGTTCATATTTTTACTTTTTGTGGGGATGTCATGGTTCCAGGCCACCACACCCCCATTTCTGCTCATGTGGTCTATATAGGTAGTTGGGGTTAAGTCTGAACCTGACCCTGGGAAGCAGACTCAGTCATAGTATTGATATGTCCAAACCTGGAGGCCTGGAGATGATTTGTCAACCAACAAAAGATTACGGTGTTCCAAAAACTTGATGGGAACAAAACTATAGCAGAATTTTACATAGACCTTATTTTTTATTGAATTTGACTACTGTACACATACATCAGCATTCCTGGATATAGAATTCACCTACTATATACTTGAGAAAAACTAATTTAAGAAAATATTTTCAAGAGATCTATAATAATAAAAGAGTAATATGCTAATTAGACTGGACAGCCGAATGACCTACCAGATGTCATTCTGGACGTCCTTCCAGATGAAGCTGTGGGGGCTGAGGCAGAGGCGATTAGGGGTGATCAGGCAGGCAGGCGAGCAGTTAGGGGCAATCAGGCAGGCAGGTGAGTGATTAGGGGCGATCAGGCAGGCAGGCAGGCCAGCAGTTAGGGGCAATCAGGCAGGCAGGCAGGCAGAGGGATTAGAGGTGATCAGGCAGGCAGAGTGGTTAGGGGTGATCAAGCAGGCAGGCAAGTGGTTAGGGGCAATGAGGCAGGCAGGCAGAGTGGTTAGGGGCGATGAGGCAGGCAGGTAGGTGAGTGGTTAGGAGCCAGCGGTCCCGGATTTCAAGAGGGATGTCCAACTGCCGATTTAGGAGGGATTGGGCCTAAACCAGCAGTCAAACATCCCCTGAGGTGTCCCAGATTGTGAGGGTGCAGGCCGGGCTGAGGGACCCCCTACCCCCATGCATGAATTTCGTGCACTGGGCCTCTAGTATTAAATAAAACTTTATAGACATTTTCTTTTGCTCCCATCCTATTTTTATTTCAAAAAGATATTTATTGTATATTCTATGCTTAAGTTCAAAATCAGCTAAAATGTTTTAGAAAATAGGGTATGTCCCTGTTTAACTGAATGGTAAATACGAGGCAGCAAAGGCTGGAAAAGTTAGCAAACAACAGGCAGAGTTATGTGCATAAATTTCTGTTAAATTTGTGATTCAGTTTTCCATTGGAGAAAAGAATTATAAAATTAAAAAAAATTCTGCCAAACAGTTCAGTTTCTTAATGTGAAATGATATGCCCTGTTGGGCCAGTACATTAGTGAAGCTTTTAAGAGTCTTGCTCTGAGAAGTTTTTCATTTTATAGATTTTGCTGTCCTTATCAAGGTAATAATAGCTAGCACTCACTTAGTGGTTATGACATGCCAAATGCCTTGTAAGGCTTCATGTAGAGTAACTCATTTATTCTCCCCACTAACTGTAAATGTTATGATGAAAACTATTTAGGAAGTATATCTGTAATCAGCTGTACTTTTTACTTACTGATGCCACCTCTGTCTTCCTTTCTATAATAACAGCTAAATTGTCCCTTGTATTTTCATGAAATCCTCCTCAAAGTAACAATCAAGAAATTCTAATGTCTTCCAAGCAAGGAAGAAATTGTCCTGTGAGAACTTAAAATTGTTAAAGAAAAGGAGGTTATTCTTAGAATATAATAACATATTATTCTCTCTATATAAAAGGCTAATATGCAAAGTGTCCCCTTGGGAGTTTGACTGGGAGAACGGGAGTTCAATCACTCGCTATGACATGCACTGACCACCAGGGGGCAGTGTGGAATGAAGGGAGGCCCCAGCCAGCAGCCAGAAGGCCCCTATCAGCCCTGATCGCTGGCCAGGCCTATGGACCCTACCCATGCATGAATTTTGTGCACCGAGCCTCTAGTAATAATATATTATAGTTAGGCACTCAAAAATGTTGCTGATTGATAGAATACAAGACTTTTTTGTCAAGAATTAGAATTTTCTAGTCCCGGCTGGGTAGCTCAGTTGCAGACTTGATTCCTTGGTCAGGGCACATACAAGAATCAACCAATGAATGCATAAATAAGTGGAACAGCCGAAACCGGTTTGGTTCAGTGGATAGAGCATCCGCCTGAGGACTGAAGGGTGGTTCGATTCCGGTCAAGGGCATGTACCTGGGTTGCGGGCACATCCCCAGTGGGAGATGTGCAGGAGGCAGCTGATCGATGTTTCTCTCCCATTGATGTTTCTGACTATCTCTCTCCCTTCCTCTCTGTAAAAAATCAATAAAATATATTAAAAAAAAAATAAGTGGAACAACAAATCGATGTTTCTCTAAAAAGTCAATGATTGGATTTTCCAATACTAACAAAGTCTTCTGTCAATTGGCAACATTGTATAATGCAATACAATTATTTATAATATATTAAAAATTCCATTTTATATAGACATATTAAAAGTTCCATTTTATATATACACTAGAGGCCCGGTGCACAAAATTTGTGCACTCGGTGGGGGGGCGGGGGTGCGTCCCTCAGCCCGGCCTGCACCCATTTGCAGTCCAGGACCCCTTGGGGGATGTCCACCTGTTGACTTAGGCCCACTCCCCGGGGGATCAGGCTTAAGCTTGCAGTCAGACATCCTTCTGGTAGCCAGGGAGCCCTCGGGGGATGTCCGACTAAAGGCTTAGGCCCCCAAGGGATCAGGCCTAAACTGTTAGTTAGACATCCTTAGTGCTGCCATGGAGGTGGGAGAGGCTCCTGCCACCACCCCCGCACTGGCCAGCCATGAGCCAGCTTCTGGCTGAGTGGCACTACTCCTTGGTCTGACCTAAACCCTAGAGATTAGTACTTCATTTTACAACTTTTTCTCGGTTTATAGGCAGCAGCAAACTCAGACCACACAGTCGGGTGTGCAAGAAATGTTGCTTTCTTTATTGTTTAGTAACCAAACCTAACTTCAACTTCAGCCCC